GTGTTGAAGTAGTGTTCAGAATGTGTGATTGAGAGAGCTGGTATCGGTGAACCCTAAGACCAAACAAGTTAAAAAGTTTGTAACTGATGGATGCAAGGTACCAATTCATGGATTCTTTTGCAGAGAGTCTTGTTTTACTTGACCAACCAAATGCTATTTCTTACTAATAAGAACCAACGACTTCCCTTCACTTCCAGTTTAGAGGAAAACAACATATCTTATACTTGAAACAGCCTCAAAATACAGAGCTGCATTTTCTGCCCTGCAAGAGCATGGCCCTTCCTATACACACCATTATCAATCGACACAGAATGGGAATGGACGAGTTTTGTTTCGGGTTATTTGAAACTTCTTGTTGAAATCACTGATGTCTTTTTTAGGCAACAAATGTCCAATTGCAAGTATATATTTTCCTGAGATTTGTGGTGTTCGAATCTATGTTGAATGCTGCAAGAGCCCAAATGACTTCCTTAGTTCTATGGCGTTAAAGATGAAAGTTAAGCTTGCTAATTATCGGAGCCAGCGTAGGGTTGGCATTGGCAGTAGCTGCAATTTTGGATCGAAGATACAAGATCCAGTTGGTGGTGTATTTACTCTTCTGAATTAATGGTAGTCATGCTCTGGATTGGATGAAGGAGGTTGCTGAAGACATCAAGGAGATTTTTGATGCATACTCAGTTTGCTCGAGAATCGTTAGTACAAGGTTGAGCTTTGACTGGCCGCAGCTAACTTAGTACCAGCAGTGATGCAATGGATAGATTGAAGGCTTTGAGAAAGTTCTCTATGATACTTCTCAGAGCCAAAACCTGATATCAGACTGGGATTTTTTTTTATAAAGTATAACTCTAATTTGACCTTTGGATCAGTTTTTTTTAAAAATTTAAATTTTATTTTATATATTTTAATTTACAGGAGTGTAGGTAAACGCATTTAACCACTTAAGCATAATAGTTGCTTGCATGGGCCTCAAGTGAGAGTTGTGCCACGGTGCCACCATCATTTATGATTCCATAGTTCGTGTCAAGCTATCCCTATGCAAGAATTTTTAATTAATTTGAGTTCAGTGGGCACTTTGAACTAGGGGTGGCATTTTAAACCAAAAAACTGAAAAACCGCAAAAACCAACCGATAATTTATCGCAATGAAACCGCATTTGCAGTATTAAGAACCGAACAACATTTGCAGTTGCGGTATTTGATTTTCAAAACTTGCGGTTACTGCAAACCGCAAAGTATAGCCGCACGGATGATGAGGTTAAATTATACAAGGAAATGGAACATATGACAACTTGTAAGTAATTAGTTTATTTATGCTAATGTTATTTATGCTTCTTTTTATAATAAAATGTACTAAACTATGTTGTTTTATTTGTAGATAAAATTGGTGCTCAAACAACACAACGGGGTTCTTCAAATCCACTCACCACCAACACTTGAGTTTGTAACTTTAGTTTGTAACATTGGTGCATTGCATTTTCCTTTTAGTTTGTAACTTTAATTAACTTTGAATTGGATTTTTCTTTTTGGTTGTAACTTTAATTCATTTTGCTTTGCATTTTTTTTTTGGTTTGTAACTTTAAAGGATTTGAAATTGGAAGGCTTAATAAGTTTAACTTTAATTGGAATGCTTGGAATTGTAACTTTAATTTTCTTAGGTTGTGAATGCTTGAGAAGTTGAGGAAATTATGAATTTATATATGCTTGAGAAATTGAGGTTGTGTATTTATTTATTTAAGTTGTGAATTTATATTTATGTGAATGCTTGAGAACTTGCGGTTTTAGTAAAAATTCGCGATTACCGAACCGCAACCACCCCTACTTTAAACACAAATCATAAGTAATATTATGGTACAAATTCCCAGCTCTGTGCCATTGAAAAGTATCTCCAGGAAGAATAAAATTATTTATCCCTGTTCCTTTTGCTTTCCTCCAGCATTGACCAAAGTTATTTTTGATTAGTTCCTTGAACGGGTGTTTGAAGAGCGTGCGTACAACCGCCTCTTCTTTTTTTCATTTGCTCACCAGCCATGGAAGGAAGCCAACTTAGGGAGAGGAACTCTCATGTAAATGGAATAATACTTTTTATTATTTTTCTTTAATAACACGTATAATTATGTTATTATGCTGTTCCTGATACATGTAAGTTTTTTTACAACGTAAAAGTGTAAACAAGTCAAGTCAAATATTATAGTGCTTAATTGACTTGTTTAAAATTTAGGGAGACTTTGGAAAAACACAAAGAATAGAGAAAATTTGTAAAAGAAGTCAAAATGGACAAAATTGCCCTTATTTATTTTTGGATTTCCTAAGGAATCCTTTACATTTGCATGTTTTTGATTTGAAAGTTGAGAGGTTTTTCTGTCTTTTTTGAAAAAGCTTTGGTTTTTTCCAAAAGTGAAATTTTTTTTTTGGCTAAAACCTAAATTTACTTAAAAGTTATCAAGCATTAGTTTCATTTGATTTGTTTTTTTAACAGATCGGGCTCAAACAAGCTAAAAATATATTGAATTCAATACAAGCTCGAGTTGAATAAATGAGAACCACTATCCACATGGATAAAAATGAAAGAGCTCAACCAACCAAACTGTATCCCACTCCACAAATATTGTACTTTATAACCTCTAAGAATACAGTCCAAATTGGAGCCAAACTCCAATACAAACTCGAGCAGTACAGCCAACGGGTTCTAAACCCAGTGGAAAAGGGACTCTGATTTTCAGTCTCAAGTTCAAACCTGCCTGCGTTTAGGGTTTAGGGTACAAGTCGTAGTCCAGCTGCCTGCGTTTTTGTCTCTATAAAATATGCCCTATTAACTCCCCGCGCCAACCAACTACCAGACCTCTGTAACCCCGTAAACAGAAAGCAGCCCATAGGCTATTCCTTTTTTTTTGGATGAAGTAGGGGGATCAAACCCAAACCAGACAGACCCATAGGCTATACTTTTTTCCATATATAAAACCCCCCAAATCCCAACTCTTGCATCGCAGGCATAATCGAAAATTGAAAGTTAGAGCAAAACATCAGACAATCAAAGCCATGGCAGACTACTTCCCTGAAGAAGTCATACACGAAATCCTCCTGAGGCTGCCCATCAAATCTCTAATCAAATTCAGAGCAGTGTGCAAATCATGGTGGTCGCTGATCAAAAGCTCTACCTTCACCCACACCCACCTCAGCCGCCGCACAGCCCAATCCAGCAACCAAAACGACGGTCACCTCCTTCTGCTAAGCGCTTTACCTGAGAATGTGGACACTGCTTGTCAGCTTGGTGAGCTTTTCTCCTTGCACTGGGACAACCCTGAATTTGGTGACTACACAAGGCTTGTAAATCCATTCATTTACCATAACACCGCTTATTTTCCCCAAAAGATCACTTTTTTACTTCAGAATTTCCATGTGGTTGACACTTTTAATGGGCTGATATGCCTCGCTGCTAATTTTGCAACAATAATCTGGAACCCTTCTGTTAGGAAGTTTATGTTTTTACCTAGGCCTAGAATTCCTTTTCCCACATATTGCATCAGAAAGTTTATGATAGCAAGTTACGCCTTTGGCTACGATTCGCGTACCTATGACTACAAGGTTTTGAGATTTGTGAGCGACCTTTTAAGCGAAGCCCCATGTGAGGTTGAGGTTTGGTCATTAGCCAGGGGCTCCTGGAAGACTCTTAGTGCTGCTGTTATTCCTGCGGACTTTAACCCTGCAGGTATTGGTCTTAGATACAGACAAGTTTTTGTTAATGGTGTTACGCATTGGCAGCAATCCTTGAAGAACGAGGGTGATTGCATTGTGTGGTTTGATATGGTCAATGAGGTATTTGGAAAGATAACGGTGCCTGATGCTTTGAAAAGAAAGAATTGCTTTATGTCGAGATACAGGGAGTCCCTTGCCTTGTTTGAGACATATGATGAAGTTTCAGAGGGATCAAATGCTATTACTTGTATTCACATGTGGGTCAGGAAAGAGTTTGGTGTGCCTGAATCATGGACTAAATTAATGAGTATATGCTTGGAAGGAACTTTAATTGAGCCGCTTGGTTTTAGAAAGAGTTGTGAATTAGTGTTCATAATGTATGGTGGGATGCTTCTATCGGTGGACCCTAAGACCAAACAAGTTAAAGAGTTTAAAACTGATGGATACAGCTACCACTTCATGGATTCGTTTGTAGAGAGTCTTGTCTTACTTGGTCAACCCAATGCTATTTCTTACTAAGAAGGACCAACAAATTAGAAGTAAGACCAGGTTGGATTGGATTTTGATTAGCACTTGCCTTCGCTTCCGGTTTGATGGAATTCAACACACCTTACTTTTTAAACAGCCTTAAAATACAAGGGTGCATTTTCTTTCCTGCAAGAGCATGACCATTCCTATACTGCAGCTTTAACCGGCAGAGAATGGGAATGTAGGAGTTTTATTACTCGTTATTTGAAACTTCTGGTTGAAATCACTAATGTCTTTTCAGGCAACAAACCAACTGGAACTTGGAAGTATATATTTTCCTGAGATTTGTGATGATCACATCTAAACATTGAATGATGCAAGAGCCCAGACGACTTTCTTAGTTCTATGGCATTAAAAATGAAGCTAAACTTGATAAATTGTGGAGCGAGTGCAGGTTGGCATTAGCAGTGGCAGCAAATTTGGATCCCCGATACAAGATGCAGTTGCTGGTGTATTGCGATTCTCAAAATTATTGTAGTACTGCTGTGGATTGGATCAAGGAGGTTTCTGACGGCATCGAGGGTCTTTTTGATGCATATTCAATTTGCTCAATAATTAATAGTTTCTCTTCTTTCTCTTTTTTTTTTCCCCTTTTTCTATCAGATGTCATCTTTCTTCTATATACCTATTTATGTACCTTGGACTCTTGATCAGGAAATTGATGTATAATTTCAAAGAAAATATATTTCTTAACCATCTAATAGGTTACTTATTATTCTTAGCAAGTCTTTGATATCGTGTTTTAACCTCTTGATCAATGGGTTGGCGTTTACAAATATGTTGTAGAGTTCACCATTGATAAGGATCAATTACAGGGCCACTTGGACCCACTATTGATGGGCTAACTTTTAAATTGAGGTTTTAATTTTGGAGCCGAGAAATTAAACCCAATCATGCTACAAGCCCAACAACTTTTCTTTTTTGCTTTTTCTTTCCAAAGCTAAACCTCAAGTTTGAAGGAGAAATTTATAGCTCAATTAGTTGAGGGTGGTAACACTGCATTCGAGATCATGTGTTCGATTTTCCCGTCCCTGCTACAAATTGCTATGACCCACTGGTACCTATTTGTTTTGTTTTAATTTTCTTAGTCATACGTGGCCACTTGATACTGGTCATATGTCACATGTAAATTTCATGAGACCACTCATAATATATCATATCAGCGTCCAATCTGTTCTTTTGCAAAAGGCTTATGGATATTGGATATATAGGCCCCTACCGACTCCACTCTCCCAGTCCCTAGAAGATGAACCAAAAAGTAGCAAACAAATAAGGTGATATCTTAGAAGATACCCCATATGTTTAGGAGATTCTGAACCAAAGAATCGGATTCCAATAGTACCCCCACTGATTTGCTTCTGCCTTTCATAAAGCCTCTCTCTCTCCATCTCTCTCTACCCACCAGACCAGGACCATGTGTTGATTCCCCTTACAGCTTAACCTTAGGAACCCATGCCTGTCTCCAAATGCTATGCCACCTAGCTACCCTACCCTACCCTCTTTTAAATTTGTAAACCATGATGATGATGGCAAAATCGCCTTTTCAGATTTCATGCACTTTGCTTGGTTTTTTCCTTCTTGGATAAGCAACTATCATGATGTTCATCGTGCTGCATCAGAAGAATCCATATAGAGATATCAGAAATGTTGTTGCCGATATTTTCCTCTCCGTTTTGTCTATTGTTTTTTTTTTCAGAGCAGGTTATGTATTTTTCTGGCCTGAGTTCTCATGAAATTTTGTAAAAAGCTGTTTTGGATTTGCCAATTATTGGATATGATACTGATAAATGGCATCCACGTGACTATTATTGTGAAATATATAGTGACTCTACCTCACCTGGCAAACACTAGTTGTAAATTTTTATTTTTTTTATTTTTTGGACTTTTGAGAGTTAGTATAGTTAGCTTGTAGAAGTATGGCTTAGCCTTGCTTAGCATATATGTTATTTAAAAAAAAAAAATTAAAACAAATCTTAGGGATAGACATAAAACTTCCCAAACCGAAAAAACCAACCGAACTGGTCTTTTTAAAAAAAAGAAGCTAAACTACAAGATGAAGGGGGTTTCTCACATACATACACTGTCAAAGTACATGAAGTTCGAACTGAATCGAACCGAACTGAATATAACTAATGCATAATTAATACTATCATATTTATGTATATATTTTTTGGGGGGCTATGGTATAGAAGAATCATTTTAGGTATCAGTGGGATAAGATCATAAGATAGCAATTTTCTCTACGGCGGAATGATCGGGTAAATGTCTGCATCAATTGCATGCTTTCCCTGATACGACAAGGGCATCCAGAAAATCCCAAGCCATCGCACCAACTCTGTTTCCCCCTGTTTCCTAGTTTCTTAATCATACTAATTACCTGATTACTCTCTCTCTCTCTCTCTCTCTCACTCTCATGAAAATTTTAGTCCCAAAAAACCAAAAGGAGTGAGTGTGTTTGTATGGATTTGCATCACTACACGTCATAAAACATCTTTTTAATGCATGGTTTTGGTGGTCGTATTAGAGTTGACCTCCCATAAGACAAACGGATTAATTTATTATGTTTAAGACCAAAGTTCACAATATTATAACGACACTAAGAATTAATTAAAAGCACATTACCAAAAGCAGATTTATTAATGCTGCTGACACATCTCAAGAAAGAAGAAAGGTACAAATCAAAGTAAATAAATTAAACCAAAAGCATCTTATTATAATATGAGATTGGAATCTATTTTTCTGAAAGTTTGTGAAGTGGTGGCAGAAAGCTAATCAAAGTGCATTTGCCAGACACTTTTTAAGCCATTGATTTTGCTTAATCAGGTTATATTATGTAGCAGCCACGAAAAGAAAACAGGAAGTGAATGGGTCCAATGAGAAATGCGTAACCTCACGTGAAAGCCAAGTTACCGAAGGTTGAGATATAAAGGCATAAAGCCGAAGATTATACATATACATTGGTGCAGAATCAAAATAGATCCCCGCAGCAGACAATATATTCGACAGAATAAATCTACTTTTTGGTGTTGTTTATGACACCAAAAACTATTTAGAATGAGCCTAATTGTGAAAAACTATTTATTTTACCCATAATAGTTGCAAACTCTTTCTACCAGCAAGCAAAGTATTACTCACAATATTTGCGTATGTAGGGGGACGCGCGGGGAAGGGGTGGTACTTTATCAGGAAATATAATTGAGGTTCTCTCTAAGGCCCTAATTTGGTTCACAGAATGGATTTGAGAGGAAATAACTTCTCATGTCATTTTCCCATAAATGGGAATGAAATATTCATTTCCCACGTTTAGTAATGTCAGGAAAGTAATTAGGAGATTTCACTTTGTTTCCTTTCCCATGTTTGTTTTGAGTATGAATGGAAAACAAAGTTTGTATAATTTTCCAATTATACCTATATTAAATCAAATAAAAAAAGAATGCATTTAATGATACGTTGTAATTCTAAATTGTTCATAGGGACAAAATAGCTATGAAAATTATGCATTGAATGTTGGCTCATTTTCCCAAACTTTTCCATGATGAGGGAAAACAAAACTCATGTTAAGAGGAGGGCTTCACTTTCCCCCCTACTTTTCCATGTGCCAGGCAACCATTTCCCATGCCTGGATTTACCAAACATGGAAAAGCAATTGAATTCCCATTCCCAAGCCCCTTTCCCATGAACCAAACGGGGCCTAATTGTCTTTGACTAGCACTGGCAGATCCATGAATTTTCCTTCTTTGGGGCAAGAACTTGTAAATTCTGGCCTAGTATGCAGAGGCTAATGGACCCTACCAATAATCTGTAAAGTCTAGCCTAATGCATCCCAAGTCTCAGCCATTCCTTTGCCCCGATGCCCTACCTTAGCCTTCATTGAGGCATTTTATCAAACATCTTGCCCCAATTCAACATAAAATATCATGAAAACTTGGCACCGTCATAGGTGTAGAACAAGATTAGTGGGGGTTAGTACCTTCACTGGCTCCTTACTAGATCGGCCATTGTTTGGCGAGGTGAGTATAGGTTACTGGTAGTCCGACGACTTCTCCTTTATGTGTAGAGAACTTCACATAAATCTCTCAGCTCGAATCCTATTTCAATATTAATAAGTATTGCTTTTGATCAAAAATAAAAAGTTAAGTCTCCTATCATTCTATTGTTGTTCAATAAAAATATTTGCAAATGCTTTCTATCGTCCTGTCGACATTCTTCAAAATAAAAAGTTAATTATGAAAAAAAAGAAAGCATTTGCAAATACGTATATCCAATTCACATCATTGTCAGTAAAGATTCCAATATTTTTCCTCATTGGCATAAAATCGATAAGAACAAAAATTATTTATATTTCATAAATTGTTGAAATCTTTACTTCATTTTTTTTTTCTTCTGCTTTTGCTCATGCGTTGTCATCACCCAATTTAACAAAAGAAAAGACGGCATCGGTCTGTTTTTTTTTCGTTCTTTCTTTAACGGAAAAGAAAGAAAAAAATTCAAAATAAAGAAAAGGGAACAAATTCCCTCCAAATGATTGGTCGCGACGTAAAAACTAAAAAGCCCCCCCTCTTATTCTCTCTCCCGCCATAAAAGCTATTCTGACTCTACCACTGTCTCCCAATTACTCTCTCTCTCCCCAACATTCGTCTAGCGCGCTTTCTCTCTATCACTCCTCCATAACAAATTCGCTCTCTCTCTCTCTCTCTCTCTGCCTCTATAATTGGACGAAGAAGGAGGTTAGTGTTCGTCAAAAGCTCGAGGCGGCTCTTCAAACCAATCGGTTAGCTCTCTCTCTCTCTCTCTCTCTCTCTCTCTCTCTCTATTTGAATGCAAGATTAGGCGCACCTCTGTATATCTGTAAATATATGTTGAATTTCTTTGAATCTCTGATTCTTGATCGAAATTTGCGTTTTTTTTTTCGTTGAATCGTCGTTGTTTTGATTTCTACTTTAAATTTTCGTTTCAAGAAATCGTCATTATATGTTAATTTTTGCACAATA